CTTTATCGTATGGTTGTTGGAGCGTGTTTGACGTTCTGTCTGGCATAACCACCAGACCCGAGAGTGAGAGGGTGAGTCGTAGCAAAGTATTACAGGTTCTAAAAGAAGTTTGACTCATTTCAACACTTTTTATCTTTGGTCACATGGGAATCTGCAAAATGCTGAGAAAGAGCACCTGAAAGGAAACGCATAAATTAGTAAAATATACACATGGTTTCTTGGCATAAGATTTTTTTTTTCTTTAAGAATTGATTAAAAGAGATAAAACATAGAGACACCTAAGACTGAAAACTAGTTTCCACTGGTTTGCTTTATGGCTTGAAAACATTTACTAATATAAACATTTAAGTGTTTTATAGACACTTTATATGTGAAATGCATTTATATAAATCACAATGAATTTATTTACTTGTATAAAATAACAAAGACTGAAAAATTTAAGGGGGTCTGAATACTTTCCGTACCCACTGTACAAATATATAAATTAAAAATATTTATTTTTGCTAAAAAAAATACATGAACGCAAAATTTCACTTGATATATCCACCTGACCCTGTTTTTTAAGTTTATGCACTGAATGGGTTTTCTCACATTTCTGCCAGTTACACAAAATGAAGAGTTTCGGTCCATTCATGGCACTGGAAGACTTTAGTGTCATATTCTCATGCATATGTAATTATGCTTCTATAAATAGGGTATTTATGTTTCAGCTGTGTGAGGGCGCCTGGCCCCTGTGTGGGTGGGGGAGAGCGTAGCAATGGTTGTTTTGGGTGAGAGAGAGACTTAGGGACTGTCCCTTTCAAATAAGCCTCCGTCATATTTGGCGGGCCTCAGGTCAGCATGGAAATATCACTCAGTTATTTATCTGATGAAGAGTTTTGATAGGTAGTGAAGTGTTTTTCCCCCCTGTGATATTACTGGAATTTAAATCACGGGCAGAGGAGCCGCTGGTATATTATCCATTGTTTGCGTGTGTGTTTTTTATCTGAGATTCACTTGTAAAAATCATATTTAAATTGTTACTCTTTCTCTGTTATTACAATTAATCTACAATTATACGGTCTGGGTTTTTTTAGGTTTTTTTGCTGCTGCATTCTTCATGAAACGCCCCCCTTTGCATGAAAAATGAGTAACAGTGCCGAATTCTGTGCTTGATGTGTCACATAGGTTTAACCAGCCACATCCTTCAATAGCAACATCTTTGCAAAGCCTGCATTCATTGTGACAGGAAAACAAAAATAATCCTTTTTTAATGTGTTGAACAAACTATTCAGACTGAAATGATCAGAGACCTTATTTACAGCTTCAGCAGCTCTTTCCTGATGTTGGGATCCTGTACATGGATATTCAGAGCAGCCGGCATTACACAGTTAGGAACAGAAGGTTTGGTGAAACTTCCTGTATATTCTCATTAGATATTCTGATGTTTAGGAATAATAGCGTCTATACAATCTTAAAATCCTTAAAATAAGTAATTACTTGTCTTACCTCTATATAGCCATTTTTATTGTTTTGAGCATAAATTCTATAAATTTATGTTTAAAACAAGAAAAAAAGCTATTTGCCATTGGGGTCACACTAATTTGGGGACCAGTTGTCACTATTAACTAACTTTTAACTAAAACTTTTTCCTAAATAAATTCATAATTTGCTGCCTACACTCTTAAAAATAAAGGTGCTTCAAAAGGTTCTTCAAGCGATGCCATAGAAGAACCATTTTTGGTTCCACAAAGAACCATTCAGTCAAAGGTTCCTTAAAAAAACATCTCTTTCTTACCTTTTTGTAATCTGAAGAACCTTTTTTCACCACAAAGAACCTTTTGTGAAACAGAAAGGTTCTTCAGATGTTAAAGGTTCTTTATGGAACCATTTAGACAAAAAGGTTCTTCTATGGCATCGTGAAGCACCTTTATTTTTAAGAGTGTATAGTTAGTAATGTAGTTAGGTATGGGGTAGAATTAAGGGATTTAAAATATGGTCATGCAGAATACGACATTAAGATGTGCTTTATAAGTACTGATAAACAGCTAATATGTTAGTAATATGCATGCAAATGTGACACTGCACCACAAAACCAGTCTTAAGTCGCTGGGGTATATTTGTAGCAATAGCCAAAAATACATTGTATGGGTCAAAATTATAGATTTTTCTTTTATGCCAAAAATCATTAGGATATTAAATAAAGATCATGTTCCATGAAGATATTTTGTAAATTTCCTACCGTAAATATATCAAAACTTAATTTTTGATTGTTAATACGCATTGCTACGGACTTCATTTGGATAACTTTAAAGGCAATTTTCTCAATATTTAGATTTTTTTGCACCCTCAGATTCCAGATATTCAAATAGTTGTATCTCGACCAAATCCTATCCTAACAAAATTGACACCTAAGACTGGTTTTGTGGTCCAGGGTCACAAATAAGCAACTAGTTAATAATGAGAATTGGTCCCTAAACTAAAGTGTTACCACCAGTGGTGTACAAAAAATGAAAAGTTATATTCTCTGAAAATGCCATAATATTTCACAGTATTCATTGTTCACTATTCACAATACACTGTTTCACAAGTAAATGTATCTGATTTAAGGATCTTCAGTAAAACTTTACTATAAGGTCCAATTAGTTAACATGAACAATTATCAAAACATTTGCTACAGTATTTATTATTCTTTTTTAATGTTAGTTAATAAAAAAACAACTGTTTATTGTTACTTCATATTAGCATTAGTATGAGTAAATGCTGAAATAAATATATTATCTAAGATTAATAAAAGCCTTAGAATATTTTTTCATCATTAGTTCATGTTAACTAATGTAGTTAACTAATGCTAACAAATGAAAACTTATTGTAAAGCGTTACCGGATCTTCAGATACTTTTTGTTTGCATTAACTTGGAAACGAGAGAAATACTGATTAATGAAAAGTATTTTTGCAGGATATCTCAAAACGTCAAGGAAAATAACCCTTTTACTTCTGTGGTGAATATATGTTAATATATACGTTTTAATGTACAGTAATATAGTGTGGTGTAATTTGTGTTTGTCCATACCATAATGATGACAGTCAGTGTCAGACGGCACTGAAGTGGCCCTCTGTAGCCTGTTATTATATTCCTGCCTCATGATGTCATCCCACAACTTCAGTGCATGAGAAGGTCACACACACACAAACAGCTGGCTTGTCTAGCTCAGCGCTTCAGTTCTCATCTCCACAGCTTCTTTATTGAGCTCTTGGAGAGCAGGACCAGACAGTAACCCTTTACTCTCTAATACAGGCCGTCCTATTCATCACAAAAAAAAACGTCCTAAAATTAATCACATTCAGTGCAAACCCACGTGTTTTGCACACTTTCTCGAACGCTTTATAGCATCAGGTTGCTAATAACAAGTCACTAATATCACATAATAGAGTCTGAACTCCACTCACTGAGAAGCCCAAGGGTTTTAGATGTTCCTGCGACTGTTTGTTGAATTGTGGGAGTTTTTGGTGTGATGAGCGTGGAAAGAATGAAGCGGGTTATTTACTCAGATGGTTCTCTGGTGTAGGTGTGAGTCTGCCCCTGCTGTTCTATGGGAACACGCTGCTTGCTTTTCTTGGTATTGGTGCCTTTTTTTTGCTCGACTGGAGAACTTTATTCTATTTTTTTTTCCAGCACCGCTGTTGCTTTTGTTTGCTCTGGATGGCATGTCTGATTATTTATGGTGGGGGGGAAGGGAGTAGTCCAGCCAGTAAACATGTGACTGCACTGTATTTTGTTTTCCACTCAGAGGGCCGTGTCCTTTGACAGATATTTTGAAGACTAATAAACTTTTTATTTGCTTTATTAACGGGGGAGAGAGACAAATAGATAAACATAGCAAGAAAGAGAGAGGTTGCTTTCCGCATACCACACTACCATACTACTCTTTCTGTGAAGTATGAAAATGCACTGTATTATGAAAATATTTGGTATGGATAGTATAGCCAGATCATCTAATACAGCTGTCAAAACATACAGTATGCAACAGAGTATACTGTGCTGGGTACTGTATCCCACAATGCAATGCACTTTTCATGACCTTTTATTTCCAATGTGATAAATGAACCAGAAGCAATATCAGCCACACTTTAAGATGTCTTTTTTTTTTTTTTACTTATTAAATTAGTCCACAAGAGATACAAATTTGGATTAAAAATATTTGTATTATATTACTACATTTTAAATTATATTAAATTATTATATAACATGAGACTGTATATTACTAATGCATTTAGATATAATTTATTATTCATAAATAAAACATTTATTAGCAGATAGTTGATTTTTGCCTTAGCGGGTGCATTGTTTACTGAGAACATTTTTGTTCAATCTTTCTTTTTAATTGGTTTGTTTTAGCAACTGATATTTGCATATTCAGCTTTTTTATGTAACAAAACAAAATAAAAAATGTTATGTATTTATTTCTGAGCTGATAATTAAACACCATTTGCTAAATTAAACATGCAACATGCACAGGAGCAGATGTTTATTGCATAATGCGAACTGTTAATTTTCTTCAAATGAAAGTAGTATGCAGTGTATATACAGTAATATGCAGTATGCTATTATTCTATTCTGAACATATTCAGAAAGATTAATCAACAGCTTGTGTCCTCCCTGATCCTTGTAACTGTAAGCTATTCAACAAAAACATTTTGTTAACTGTTTGTGGTAACTGTTTTTCATAACCGCTTCCTATCAGCTTATTTTCACATACTTGTTTGTTTTGGGCAAATAATCATTGCACGTGACCAAATTAAGCTGTACATTTGTTTAAAATAAGCAGGGAGGGAAAAACAGTATCTTGCCCAGCTGTTAGAACATGGCATCATTTGGAACACATCTTTGACGCCAAAAAGCAGTATGGCCGTTCTCAAGGGAGTGTCATTCCCCAGCACAAAAACAATGCACTACTGGAACTGTTGTTCGTGAACTTTTATTTTCTCACATTGTTTTTTCTGTCTTTTTTCTCACCTAGGCCTTACAAGTTGCACGACAGATCCTTCTCCAACAGCAACAGCAAAGCAGAGCCCACAAGTCCCCAAAAAACAATGACAAGCAACCTGCACCACAGGTATGTGTGCGCATGTTAAGCTCAAATGTTCTTCAAATGTTGCTCTTAGATAGCTCAGGAGACTAAATGGAGTTTGCATAATGTTTTAGTAGAAATCTTAACTGTCTCAGATGTTTCTTCTCAAATTCCTAATGAGAAATACAACAGAAGCAAATATTGACCTGTAAAATGAACATAGTGCCGTAATGCTCAGATGATTTGATTTTGGGAGAAATGTTGGAGTTCATATGGAAATCGTTGGTGTCTTGGATAATCTGAGCACAGTTTGAGACATTAAAGTTGCAATTAAATGGAAGTAGTGACTGATCTTTTTGTCCATATTGTGACATCCGAGTGTGACAGATTATTGGAAAAGAAAAAAGGGACTTGGTTCTATGCATCAATTGTTGACTGGATTTTGAGATGTAGATGTTGCACTCAAAAGAGGTCTTTGATTAAACATTATGAGGTCAAAATTTGAAAAAATTAAACATATGCATGGATAAATTGTTCACAATTAGATGCATTTAGAAAATAGGGTTAATTTTCACCAACTTTAAGATCGCTAAACAAGCAAATATCTCCATATCTACTGATACTGTAGTAAAGAGATCTATTTTTTCCTTCTTTCCCTGTAGAACAGTACTGGTACTGACATAAATATATTTGTGTGTATATGAGTGTGTGTTTGTATAGGTGATCAGACATTATTTGTTTACATTTATACGGACGGTTAGTGGTACAACATGTACCTGTCAAAGCTTAACAAACAGGAAATTAAGGCAGGCAGGGCTGAAGATTTGGCAGCACATTAGTGTAGTGTTCTTTCATCACTCACAATAATCTAACAAATCACGCTCAATGAAATCCTGTCAGTTTTAGCACATCATGAGCACAAGGATATCTAATGTGTGTGCAAGTGTGAAGAGCAAACAACATTAGCTTATCGAATAGAAGTACAGTAAGTATGAAGACCTCTCTCTCTGCCTCTCTTTCTCTTTCTGTATGATTTCACACTTAATTCTGTCAGCAGCAGTTAAAGGGGGCGCCCGGGAGCAGCCCTGGCTCCTGTCTCAGCCTCCAGGCTTTCTATTTGCCTGCCCTTTGTGATGCAAAGCAAATCCGGCCCTTTTCATTTCCCCATCCACACCCCTTTAAAAGAGAGCAGCTAGCCGTGTCTGATGCAATATTTACGTTTATTTGAGATCATTCTCGCTCTGATCCTTATCTCTGTTTGAGCAAGGTGGATGCTGTTTGTTTCTTGGCGGATTCACAGGAGACCTAGGGGCATGTTTGTTAATTAACGCACATCCCTGCTTTGAGCGAGCCTGTTTGTGTGTGTATGACTGGATTTTTAGTGGTACTTGCTAATGAATGGACATAAGTGGTACCTCAAATTGTATGGCATGTGAGTTAGTTTTCTAAGCATTTGGATTTGCGATTTTCATCCTGGCAGATGATAAAATGTGGGAAAAACATACATGCATTGAAGGAGGGACCTGAATATCATAGGGACTTGGAGGTTAGCTCGTTTCACAAAGAACACCACATAGCTAAACTAAAACACCCTAGCAACCACATAGTAACACCCTAGTAACATGACAAGAATTTCCTTCAAATGTAATTATAATTTTTTTTTTAAGGTGTTGTGGGGTTTTTTATTTATATATTATTATAATTATTATTATTATTATAGTTGTTGTTGTTCTTGTTGTTATTAAAATTTGTATTAAATGCTCAATTTTTTTGCAGTCAAATAATTATTTAGAAATTATATTTGTGTCGTTTATTTTTATTTAGTAATAATAATAAACAATACATTTATTAATACAATTAAAACATTATTATTATTATTTTATTGTCATATTGATATATAATTGCAACAACTTGACCAAATTGTTCAACCCTACAAACAAGAACAGCGAACATGGAGCTTTAAAAAAAATTGCATTTTAAAATGCAATCACAATTTTTTATCAGAAAAAGAGCAATTAGATTTTTTTCCCCCAAAATCATACAGCCATACGTTGTGGCATATCAGTATCGTGTCATGTAGTGTAAAAGAACTTGGGTTGTGTAGATATCACTGGAAATAAGCCACAAGGGAATAAATGCTTGTGACCTTTAGATTCTGTGTGAATTTGTTGTCATTGAGATAAAGCCAAAAGGATCCAGCTAAACAGCTTCACTCATCAGGCTGAGGGGTCAGTGGCCAACAGATTCCACTATCCAGACTGTTAGTACGTAGAGGAGGAGCAGACCAGCCTCAGCACACAAAGACGAAATTAAAATTCAAATGTATTAATGTATACAGAGAGCATAGCCAATCTGTCACTCACACCAGTGAAAAGAAAGCATGTGTGTTTTTGTCTTTCACCCTCATGCTCTCTTCTATCTTTCTATGACTGAGTTCAAAATGAAATCCTAGCTTACTGCATACTACTTTGTACTGTATACTGCCTACTGTTTGTTTTTAAAAATTGTGAATCAGTATGCAGGAACAAACTTTTCAAACATATAGCCTACAGTATGCTTTATGAATCAGTTTAAAAAATTTGTTTTGTTATTTTACTTTTCTTTTTTGTAATCTGGGGTGGGAACAACGCTCCACTAGGTCTGTCGCAATTAAAAATAACATAAAATTAGCATTTTTATGTCTCCTTATGGTGCGGCAGAGTTTTTTTAAGTTGAGCGCAGTGCATTGTGGGATATAGTACCCAGTGTATTATGCTTTGTTTTATGGGCTACTGACCATTTTGTCACATGTATTCGCTCATTTCTTGCATATAGAAAATGTTCTTACTGTGCACCCTATATGCCGCAGATGATGAGTTGTGTGGTAGTATGCAATTCTGAACATGTATCTTTCTCAATAGCTCTTGCTGTCTTGTGTGATCTATCTATCATTAGATGCTGATCTCTATTAGGTGTTATTGCTGCATTGAGGCGCCAAAAGCCAGCGTCAATTTGCTTTCCTTACTCTAGAGCGTTTTAATTTGATTTGTGACTGTGTTTATCACCAATTCAGCATTTCAGTCTCTGTCCACCTAAGACTTTGAAGATTTAAGTTTTTGCACATTATTTATTTTGGTCGATAGAGAAAGGTAATTGTAGCATGCTAATTGTTAATTGTTGGGCTTATAGGGAACACAAAGTACGCCAGTGAATTCATGGGAACCTTTACTAATCAATGGGTAACCCTCTAACGTAAGTAGCGCATTGGATGCTGGACAATTAATGGACAATATGTCCGATATTTCTTCATTAGTCATAATAAAATATTTTTTATAAAATAAAGCATGGAACACCATAAACATACCGGGGGTAGAGGCTAAACGCATTCGGCTGGTCAGAAAAACACAAATAAATCACCAACAAAATGACACGTGTAATTAAAAGAGTCCATGCCACTTTACCACTTTACACCTACAGCAGAGAACGAGAGAGAGAGTCAACAAGAGAAAGAGAGAGAGAAAGAGGAAGATCGACAGAGTGCAACTCCCTCCTTGCTAATTACGGTTATCACTGAAATGGTAGGGCTTGAGTCATTAGTTCCATGTGCATTTAATTAGAGGCAGTCTGAAATTGGATTTAACTTATTACTTTTTCATGGATCGCTTTCTTGTCATCACTTCAAATTGGATTGCAGCCCCAGGTAACTAATTATGCCCGCCACAGGATCAGGAGTGGAGAAATAGGTAATTAGGAACAACACTTGCGGACCTTCCTTGATAGTCCACCATCTCCATGGAATGAGGGAAAAATGAAGAAGATTGAAAAAAGAGTGAGCATTATTTGCGACAATGCTGTGAAAGCAGGTGTGCTTAACTGCGTGTTGCCACAAGGGATGATGGGTAGGGAGCTGCCACCTATGGAGGATTACTTTGACAATGTTATTTTGACATGATTTTGGTCCATTGACGTAATGTCCCTACTAGACACGTTGTGGTTTAGTTGATCATCGCACAGTGTAAATGTCATGCCTGTCCTCATGCACTCATGAACTTGTGCCGTTAAAGGCCGCTTGAGCGTAAACTTTTGCAGCTCACGCTTGAGTTATCAAGAAGGTATAGCAAAACAAACGTGGTGTCAATAGGCAGCCTGAAAGGAGAGGTTGTTTGTTTCCTTAGACAGCGTTGACGCTTGTTGAGATCAGCTGGTCTGTTCGCTTATTTTTGGTGGAAACAAACTGGTGTCTTCCAAACATGTGCGAATCATCTGGAGGAGTTTGTTGCTGTACCAAAAAAAAAAAAACTCGATGGAGAAGCTTTAGCTTCTTTGTGAAGGTGCTTGTTGTGAAGTTAAAACATGGCTTTAATAATGATAAAAAAGTAAATACATCCCGTTAATTTGATTGATTGATTGATGATTAAATGATTTTCAAACATCTTAAGTCAAAAGGTGTGGGAATAAGTGATCTCCGTGGATAGATAGATAGATAGATAGATAGATAGATAGATAGATAGATAGATAGATAGATAGATAGATAGATAGATAGATAGATAGATTTGGCAAGTTAATATTTGACCTTGATCACAGAATTCCGCTCCTACACTAAAACACTAGCAACTAAAGAAGCATTTTGCCTTGTTAATGTCCTCTGTGGTGAACTAGACACGTTCTCTCAGTCTTCAATAGCCTAAAATGTCTGTTTTTTTCAGTATTTTGATGATGTCACAGGAAGTAATCAGTGGAGATGTTTTGCACAATCTTTCTCCTGTTTCTCTTTGCCTTTCTTTCATGATCATATGCAGTCGCAGGGAGGGCAAGTGGAGGTCAAGCGATAATGTCCTCTCACTTTAAAAAACGATGAAGGCCCCCCTCCCCCTTCCCCTCCACACATGCACACAGACAGAGTGCAATTCCTCGTCTTCATAGAGTGCTACATGACACAGTGCAGAAGTCAGGCTTTGACTCTCCTTCACTAATACCCTCTTTCTTCTCTGCAGTTTTTTTTCCTCTCCAGTCTTTTTTTGAACTACAGTTTTTTTTGGTGGAGACCCATGGCATTGTCCTGACAC